TTTTTTTTTTCCCTACTAGGCTTGCCTGAGTTTTATACTCTTTTTTGGTCTTTGAAGAAAATAATACTTGCTTTATATAATCTTTCTTTATAGAAGACTGTTTCTTAATTAATTTCCAAATGTTTTGGAGTTTAGGGTCTTTTTTTAGTTTTTACTTATTTATTAATTGCAATACAGGTGATTGAACCCAGGGGCACTCTATCACTGAGCTGCAGCCCCAGTCCTGTTTAATTCTTTTATTTTGGGATAGGATCCCACCATGATTTCCAGGCTGGCCTCAAACTAGGGATCCTCCTGCCTCTGCCTCCCGAGTTGCTGGCATTATGGTTGTGCCCCACTGCAGCTCTAACCATCCAGATTTTACTAACATAAAAATTAAGACTGTTTTTGCTTACTCTCCCCACCTTTCAGATCAATCTTTTAGAGTATTTCTACTTGTTAATAATTTTCTATCATATTCACCCCAGTTTCAGAGTTTGTCAAGCTGATTTGGATTTTCAGTTCCAGGTTATTGAATTTAATTAATATCATTATATTATAACTGTACATTAAATAACATTAAAAGGGATATCTTTTATTTCAAGAACTCTTTCCTGATCCTGGTGCCATGGTTCTTGGTGCATTGTCATAATCACGATCCATTGGCTGATGTCCCATGGCACCTGTTACAGAATTCCATTGCTAACTTCTTCACCTCCTCCCCATCTCCCCCATTGAGACCGTTGCTGGGTGATTTTTGCTGGGTATGTATCTTTTCTTGGAGTGGTTTCCTGGGCACTGAGAGTGGGTTCTCCTGGTCCCAGCTCTCCCCAGGGACACTCACTCCATCCAAGGCATGGGCTCAGGGATCTTCCCCTTCAGATGTGGAGGCAGTTCTGCTCTGATTAGCTGTCCTTGAGGTTGCCATCATTTCTTTATCAGCATTTATAACTTGGTGCTCTGTCCCTGACAGCTCAGGGGATTGGGTCTTTTTGGTAAATCTAGCCTGGGGCTGGAGGTAGAGCCTCACTGCAGCCATTTCTCTGTGTTCCTTATTGGTGAGCCCCCTTTTTGTGTTCTAGGTCGTCAGACCCCCTGAACTTTGAGCTGTTCTGTTTTCCAGGTTTTCTTCTGTGAACAGAAGATACTCAGAAAAAATAAACCCAC